ATCTATCTATCTATCTATCCATCTTTCTATCCATCTATCTTTCTATCTATCTATCTATCCATCTATCTATCTATCTATCTACCTATCATATACCTACCTACCTATCTATCTAAATGTTTTATTTATCAAATACTAGACATTTTAGGCGCCCCCTTGTGGGCTCATATAAAAAAACCCCACTGTTCTAAATCGTTGAACAGCTACAGTTAGTGATAATCAGGCGTGTGACAACAGCGCACAGTGGGACTCTCACCTCTTCTGTGTTGGACAGCTTGGCCAGGTCCTTGTCTGAAGCCTGAGGGACACCAGCCGGCCACTCCACATTCACCTCCTCCTCCTCTGGAGTGCCCACGCAGGGCTCGTCCTCTTCTACTTCCTGCCCTTCCTCGTACATTTCTTTCTCCGCTTCTCCGTCCTCTTCCTCCTCTGTTACAGACGGCACTGGACCATCTATTGCGTCTCGCTGTCGTTGTCCTCCGTCGTCGAGGGATGCGTCCGGTTTGTCGCCTGCAACAGTGAATAAATGTCGAATATATTCATTTAGGATACAGTTATAATGGTGTATCAGTACAGGCGGCATTGCTGCCCTCTGTACACCAGTACCAGTACAGGCAGCATTGCTGCCCTCTGTCTACATTTTCTGACATGTGTTGACAAACTACACAGTATGTTAAAATGTTAGCTCCTCTGATCTTTGGTCTGCAGTTCTACAGTCCACCTCAGGGCAAATGCAAAAAGGGACGCTGATACAGAGCTTAGAAAACAGATGTCACCAGTTACTTGATTTGGTTACGTTGTGTTCGCGTCACACGTCATTGACACTACAGTCAAATGTAGTTCACGTTCAGGCAAGCATTTCAGTACAGCCGAGTTGTATTTGTGTCCAGTGTATTAGTCTACGGCCAGACGGGTGTAAAATAAAAGACAAAAACACAACCATATCCGTTTACCTTCATCAGGCAACACCTCTGATGTCTGGTTCTTCATTTGAACGATGTTCAGCATCACATCTATCATGCTCTGTGAACATAACGGAGGAAATGGTATAACAACGTTTGATTGATTTACAACACTTTTGGGGGAAAAAAAAAATTCAATTTTCACTGTCCTACCTTTTCTGCAGTGACAGATGGTCTGGGGGGGTGAAGAGAAGAGGACAGGTTGAAAAACATAGTCTCTTACACAATGGGATCAAAACTGAAACATCCTTTAGTTTTTCCTCCTGCCCAGTGAAACCTGCCTGTCCTGGATGTGATCCCATACACGAGGATAATCCGTGTTAAAACCCCACTCCAATCTCCTCTTTCATGTCACATGAGCTGCAGTATAATGTCGTTTTTGTTTTGTTTTTCTTAAAATTTGACTTTTGTTGTTAGTTTAGTTGAATTTCAATACAAACGTTTGACAGTGAGTTGATGTCAACTCTCTTCTTTAAAAAGACGAAACGCTGTTAGCAGCAGAGACTCTTGAGTCTCTACAAGCCACACCCCACAGAGGAATTGAGGAATTGTGACAGGTCGTAAATTCCCCTTCTCCATTTTGGCTACTCCCTCTAGGGGTCACCATATCAGATTGCTAGGGTTCTTCTCGTTTCCCCTTCATCGGGCAATCTGTCCTCGCCATATGTTCAAACCATCTCAACTCTCATCAAATCGTAACCGTTATCCTGATCTGCCGATCCTGTGCGGTCGAGATGGTTGATCCGAGTATAAAAATTATGAGTATAATTAAATTTACTTAAAATGTACTCCTGTTTAGTTGAAGACAACGCTGATATACTGGCAGGAATTGAAGAAAGACAC